TCATTTCTTTGTAGGATACCAAGTAATGTCCAAAAATCATTTTTCAACATCAAACAGAAGCAAAATAACCACAGGCAGGCGCCGGATTTACTGTTGTAAGAATATACCGTTGCAAAAAGTTAAATTTTGATTGACAAATTTCATGACTTCCAGTAACTGATGATGCGACTGAGTGATCAGGATAAAGTTCACCATCTTGCTAACTATATTGATGAAAGGAAGAACAAAAGAATTTAGTTCTCGACTATAAACTCCTGTAGCATATTTCTGATGTAAATGTAAGAGAAGAGCTAATGAGCATATGTCAGCCTAACACATGAAATAGTAATCTCATTCGCAAGCTATAGCACATTTGAGAAAATTAGTTGCCGAAAACAGCAAAAAAAAAACAACCGAATTATAAAAAATGCCACTTATATAGCTTAAGGAGACGTAATATGTCGATTTTTAGAACAATAAGACGAGACACTTACCTTTCTACCATCACCTTTGGTGGTGCAGCTACGCTCAGTTTGCTAATAAGCTTTGGAGCAACTTTAGCAGGAAACTCCAGCTGATTTGCTCTAGCTGCTTCCGCGAATGGTTTTCCGTATTTGATCGTCAGTTGATCGCTTATGGTCTGCAAGCAAACAAGATTTTTGAAGAACGAGAATATTCTCCAATCAAATGCGCTACCTTAAATTCCTGGATGTCATTAGCAAGTCTTGGGGCTGCCCACATGATGCTGATGACGGCTTCAGCAATACCATCATCGAGAGTTCTAGAAAAGAGATGTATCTCTCAATAGATTGCTGGTAAACGATAACTGAAAGTCTGAGCTTACTTCATTTGCTCAATCAATCCAAATCTGGCGAGTAATAAATCGCAATACATCTCCAGTATTTCGAATGCTTCAACCAAGTAATCCTCGCGAATTATATGCTCCACTCGTATTCGAGCCCGATCGGCCTTATTTGCTGCAAAAAAAAACAAGTTATTACTGATTCGAAAGATAAACTAGTTTGCTAATCTAGTTGCAAAGCATTAATTAGTCCCTAGTAACAAACTCCATGTGGTAACCCCAAAAAATATCGCGTGATTATATACCGTTTGAATGTTTGACTGGCTGATAAGTCAGTCAAATTTCAGTTTTTTTGTTGTGATTACAAAAATGGAAAAAGGCAGTTCAATTTTAGTTTCAGTCGTACATGGTGCTCTAAATTATTCCGGCATAAACAATAGAAATACGGAATTACTCATCAAAAGTAATGTCATCGAGCAGTTAAAGTATAAAATTAGTCCTTTGGAATGACAAAAAAGACTTAAATTAATAGGGATACACCATATATGCGTAAGATCAAAAACATACATGAGAAAACAAATACTCAATAAAACAAGAAAAATATTTCATAACTAGAAAACTCAGCCTTACATGCTATGTATTCAGCAATCTCCGTACGAGCCTTCATTGCCATTTCCGTCTTCTTCTTGCCCATTAGTTTCAAACGGTTGATTGCGAGTCGAAGATTTGTCTTCAGCTTCGGATACTGGGCTCCCCAACTTATCGACATTTTGCTTGAACAACCAAATTA